TTACAACCATTTGTGTTAAAGACAGGTCTGGGGCCTGCACCAAAAACCTCCTAGTGATTGCTTCAGTTGCTAGCAGATTGCTTTAGTTGCTAGTTGTCACAGTTGCACATAGTTTTTCATATTTGTCTACTAGCAAGTAGTAACACCTGACAGAGTGTGACACAAATTGGAAACATCTTCAAAGGTTTGCCCTAAAAGTAAAAGTTGTGTCTCAGTGTTGCAGCAAACAGGTTTAAAATAGGCAAAGCTTTTATTTTGAAGGCAAGTCCACATCACACTTTTCAACTTCACTACAGCATAGAGAGCAGCTAGCTAGTGTTTGTATACATCCACAGAAATATGCAAATGACCAAAGAGGATACATGACCGGTGTCTAGACGTGTATAACTGGGTTTTTTTTCCACTTGATCCTACATCCAAGTTAAATCTCATGGTTAGTGGTCAAAGTTCTGCAAAACCTCAACAGATGTTGGCAACAGTGTGGGTCTCTTGTGTAAGCTATGTCGAAGGTACTACTAAATTAAGTATAGCAGTACTATGACACAAACCAGTGTTCATCAATCTATTAATGTCGATAATTTGTTTGTAGAGCAATTCAAGTTGTTCATGTATAGATATGGGGATAATTCCTATATGAATATGCTGTTTCACTAAAACATCAGGTTTGTATCACAATTCTGGCACTTTGCAGTTTAGTTTGAGTTTTTAAAAATGTAAGTCATTTTTAATGGTTTCAGTGTTAGTTTTTATTTATTGTGCAGTGAGCAGTATTTATCCAGAGCAACAAGTTTTCAGAACTCATTCAGAAAGCTCAGTCTGAATAAATCATTGCACCAGTGCCTCCTGAGCTTATGTTAACCACATTGAAAAGAAACAAAATAAATTAGATAAATAAATTTAAATAAATAAAAAAATATATTTTTTCATGAGGTGTAGTTAACCAGGTGTTTGCAACAAAATTAAGTTGCCCTGTCTCTGGGCGACGAGCAGACTAGCCCAGACAGCATTATGAAAAGAGCACATTTAACCTCACAAAGCTTGGTGGCAATCGTAAAAAATTTGGAAGGGATAGGTTGATGTTCTACGGATTCGTTAATTATTCGGCTGAATTCGGCATACAAGACGACAGATAATCAGCTTTTTCGCTAATGTTTTGAGCTTAACACAGACTAGCTAACATAGCTAGCATCGTGTTTAGACGTGCAAGTGCAACATAGTAAATGACCGCTACATGTAGTAATGAATGATGGCTAACTCGTGCTAACTATAATGCACCCACGTTCATTGGTTACAACTTGGTTGCCCGTGCTGTCACTTACAACTGAATAACAACTTGTCAAACTAACGTAAGGTAAAGTTAAACCGACCTGGCAGCCTCAAAGGTCCGTTTAGCAGTTGAAGCAAAAGCACCTTTAAACCAAGCAGGTAAAGCTTTATAGCTGACAGAAGATGACACCAAAAAGCAGACAACATCTCTGCGAGGATGTTTTAACGCTGGTATCCGAAAGAGGCAGAGCAAAGCACCACAACGCAGTTACGTCTGTGGGACGCGTTCCAATATGAAGTTGTCCAACCTCGCTTTCTTCCTTAACACATCTTCTAACAACTCATGTTCCATTTTTAGATGACTAAATTAGACGACTAGCAATTCCCTGGCTTATCTATTTTAAAATCTTGACTTTCCAAATGATTTTTCCCCGTAGAGCCGCTATTTGAAATCATGATCCCTTGAAGTCATCTGTCACATGGCGGTAAAGCTGAAATAAGTGTATGATGGAGGGGACACGTTCTCCTCGATGCTCCTTGGCTGCTTGATGTGCCGTATGATCTTTATCTGTAGATCCAGCATATTGCACCCTTCAGCTCACTGACTCCCTGATTAACTGCTGCCAGCCAGGTCACACACGACAAAAATCAACTGAGGGATGACACATAGTAGTCTGATCCATAATTTCCCAAGTTACGCTTAAAAGAACAAGTTTCTTGAGCAGGGTTACAGTCTGAACTAACTGAATTCTGGTCTGCTTGTCAGTTTTTCTTCCCAAGGGATCGCTTTATTCCACACCAGCCTACTTTTATTGGCGGCTGCTGTGATAGTGAAATGTAGGACTTCAGCTGTGAAAATCCTGATTGCACTAACTAAAAAAGAATCAAAATATGGTATTTTCTTTATTTTAGATAGGTGACAAACTATGATATAACTGAAGTTGGCTGCACACTAACAGGCTGTATGAATTTATGATTTAATAAATTAGTCATCATAATTTCTCATAAATATTTATAGCACCTATCATGATAGTGAGAATTACAGCTTCAGAGAAATTACTTTTCCACTTCTAGAGATAAGCTACTGGCACTTTTGTGTGGCACCCCATGACTTCTAATCAGGACCAATACCCCCTGCTTACAGCAGATACTGAACATCTTTGGCCATTTCACTGGGCTCAGAGAATCAAATGTCAAGAAGATATTTTCAGACATTATCGGATGAGTTTCACCGACCTTTTGTGTCACCTGCCACTTTGGAGTGCAGTGATTCTGAGTTTGTGTGATACTTAGAGGTCACAAGCACCAACGTATTTAAGCAGCTATCAAATATAGAGGACAACGACACAAAGCATGATGACATAATGAATTATTAAAGCTTAACTAAATGATTCCTTGTGACTTTTTTTTTTTGTCTGAGACAAAAGATTAGAATTTAAAAAATAAATGTATCCTCCTGAGACCCCGTGACCTCAGAGGGGTATTACATTTGGACTTTTCTGCACCTTCATTCTTCTAAATAAGTGTTTCATACATGGTTCAACAATGGCAACTTCATTCTATTATGGTGTAAATTAACCCCACAATTCCCTTATGGGGGGTTTTCAAA